GACCTTTCATTTCCATAGGATCTATGGGTTAAAACTCCATGGACTATCCATGAAAGCTTAGCCCAACCTAAATAAACTTGACCCATCCTACATATATGATATGTGCATATTTATATAACATACATTAATATTTTAATTACTTTTATGCCCTTAATAGAACAAAAGATACTTAATTTGCTATGAATTGTGTTGTAGGGACTAAAAGACTTGTTTGGAGTAAAAAGGAAGTTGGAAGCTGGATTAAGGAAGCTAGAAGATGGAAGATTGAACCAAAGCAATAAAATGAAGAAAAATACACCGAACATGTCGTGGTGATCCTACCACAACGTGGCGTCTTGAAGATTCCCGATCAGATTCGTTGAGTTGTAGATTACGGGATCAACATAATCACCACTACATGGTGGGCCCACCACAACGTGGTGCCTTGCTTTTAGGAAAAGTATAAATATCTCACATAAACCTCCGAATGAGAGCTTTTGGCTCTGGAGAATTCGAAGCTTTTTGAGGCAAAGGCACTGGAATTAAGCATTGGAAGCAAGGAATTCAACCACAATCATTAGAATGAGGAGATCAAAGGCAACTAAACTCTACTTTTCGATTTTTCATTAGGAATAGCTATGTCTTTACTTTTGAATCTCGATTTTACAACTTTTTTGCTGAAATCATGAGCTAAACACTCATTACTTTCGTTTAGCTAGGATGAGTTGACTAAACATGGTTGATTTCATAGTTAGGATTTAGTTCTTTGATTATTTGTTGACTGTTGCTTATGAAAGAACCTCAAGTACTTTTGATAACTGTTTTTTATCTGCTTATTGCTGAATTTGATTAGGTTAGAATGACTATTTTTCTTAGTTGAATTTGAATCTTATGATCTTGTGATTTGCAAAATTTTAGGACTAGAGTTTTGATTAAAACCTAGGGTTAAGTAGAAAAGTGGCTAAAAAGTATAGGAGCCAATATATGATGAAAAATCATATATAAAATTGAATCAATAAATTTAACTGGTCAAATAATTATAAGTCTAAGCAACTCGAACCGAACAGTAGTGAACTTGTAAGTTTGTTCGCTTGATCACCGAATAAATAAGCTAGTTTGCTAAAGGATTAAATTGGTGAATACCATTTTGGTCATATTTGGAATCGGTATCCAAAGAAACTAAATCCGTTGCACTTCTATGAAACAGCTATAATAACAACAAACCTGAAACTAAACCAAAGTCTCTTTGTCACCTTGGTTAATTCATACTTGTTTGCTTGTTTAGCTTAGTGTTAGTTTGATTTAAGTGAATTTTGAGTTAATTTGGTAATTTAAGTATCTAGTCTTGCAAAACTAGGAAAACAAAATCTTTTCTTATTTAATTAGTAATTAGCTAATAGTAGAATAAAGCTAATAGAAACATCGTTCCTTGAGTTCGACACTCGTTCTTACCATAGCTATACTATTGCACGATTAGGTACACTGCCTAGTGTGTTTAATAGTCTAGTGAAGGAAATAACTTTTATAAATTAAAAACTTGAATAAAAATATAAACACATTAAACACATATCAATATATAAGAGTTCATATTTAATTAGTTCCTTTGGATCACTAAATTAATTCTTGATCAATACTAATTAAATAATATGATTTCAAATTAATATATTAGAACTTATAATATATTAATACAAATCGTAAGTATCCTTTTTCTCATTTTGTCTATCCAATTGTTCTGATGCCATGCAACCCAAATGGATCATGCTACTCTCGGGTCGAATACATACCAATAATAGTTATGGGCTTAGACATCTAATCCAACAGATCATGCCTTCGCCTTCCCACGATCATCAGAAGTACCTGAAACAATAATCGATAAATGTAAGCTTGAAGGCTTAGTGAGTTACCCCCAAAATACTAATGCCATATAGATATAACCATATCATATAAACAAACACAACATGCATAATGAGACTTCAGCCTGACTGGACCGCCTCGCATGCCTTCAGCCTATCTGGACCCCTCTCCGAGCCTTCGACATGTCTGGACCGCCTTGCAGGGCCTACAGCCTATCCAGACCGCTTGTCAGGCCTTCGACCTAACTAAATCCCTTTGTAGGGCCTTCAGTTTATCCGAACCTCCTTGGGTATGTTGTCCTTCAGCACAAAGTAGGACCGCCTCAACCCAACCCCCAATCAAACAAGCATGTGCACATAATATCATACATTAGCATATATGACATTTAAACCGATCTAACAGATCACTAATCATAGCAACATCCTATAACCAGGATACAGACCCTACCGGTCACTAACATAGCATCATCCTATATCCAGGATATCGATCTAACCAGGTCACTAAGCATATCACCATCCTAATTACCAGGATATTAATCAATAAGCATATCATATAATAAACTTGGATACAAATTCGATACGGGCCAACATTGGTGCCTTAGACCCATTTGATATAGTGAGGAGAACTCATCTCACAAGTAGCTCGATGCTAATACAATCAACTCCTTCACGCACCGCTCCAAACACCAACACCTGTAACCACTAATGGTCCATTCTCGTAAATTACCAATTACCAAAATGCCCTTTAGAAGTCAAACTGATCAACCCTTAGTCAAAGTCAAAGTCAACGGTCAAGATCAAGAGTCCATGTTGACCCGACTCGTTGAGTGCAATTCACTGACTCGTTGAGTCCTTCTAGAACTCGAGAAGTCGTGAAATCCCTAGTTGGCTCGTCGAGTTTCCCTGCAACTTGCCAAGTTCATGCATGTCCAAATGTCGGGAAAACCCTAGCTGACTCACCGAGTCGTCCTACTGACTCACCGAGTCCATGCAGAAATCCTTGCACGACAATCTTCATCGGACTCACCGAGTTGGCCAATCAACTTGTCGAGTCCCCTCAGTCCAACACTCATTCAGACGATTCTAGGCAAGGGAAATGCACCATCATGATAAAGGTTGAAACTTTATAATTATAAGGACCAAGATGAGCGTAGATCTGAAGTTGCGACTTCAGATATTGGTTCATCACTCGAAACAAAAGACCAACATGCTAAAATGGCCCCAAAACTCAAATATAGAAGGGTCTAGCTAGAAGGAGATCAATGTAACGACTTGATACCTTCAAATGATGCTAAACTGGGGTAGACTTCAGATCCACACACATTCCTTGCCTCAAACTTCTTGATCTTCAACCTCTTTGTAACAAGATATACCTTCCAAGCTTAAAACACACAAATATGGAGACTAAACATGAATTTGGGTTTCTGGGCTCAAGGGGGGGGGGGGGGGAGGGGGCACTATAAGGGAAGCCAATGGATGACCCTTTAAATAGGGTGCAATATCTTGGAAATTAGGGTTTCATCCACTAGCTCTAACTCGTCGAGTCATGTCCTTCGACTCGTCTAGTTAGCTACTTAAAACACGCGGCTGATTTTGTTCCTACCCGACGAGTCAGGGCATCCGACTCGTCGAGTAGACCTTTTAAGAGGTAAATAAAGCTGTAAATTTATACCTGAGAGTCATGGTGTTACATGATTCCTCCAGAACATCAACGTAATCTCACCATCATTTAATATATTTTTTTTATTAATCAGCATTTCAAAAAACTTCAAGCTTGTGTGTTTCTTGTTTATTTTCGTATTCTTTCTAAATTTTGTATGTGATTTAGTCCATCTTATATAATTTAAACATTTTTAACTTTATTTTATACTACTAGATATTCATTTTTCTAGAAATAAAGATAATAATAGTGAATTTAGATTGTTGAATTATTTTCGTGATAATTTGAATGTATCAATTTGAATTTAGATGAATTTAAATATTATTATGATTTTGGTTGGTAAAATTTAGATGAAATTAAATTTCATTTTCTTTTGAATTAATTTTGTTTATTTTTACAAAGGTTTTAGTATATTTAAGCTATAGAATATAAATACATTTCGTTGGTTTATCAATAGAAAATTATTTTTATAAATAAACTGTAAATATAAATTACATCAAATTTACCATATTTTAGATCGAATTTGCCATATGTTTGTTTGCAAAAAAAAATCATATAGAATTATAGATTTTTTTTTTTTATAAATCCATTTATTTTAAATAACATCTATTGTAAAATAAATACTTTATTCCATGTTTTACCAATCTCTAACAAAAAATCGTACATACTTCCTTAATAACACCAACATAAAATCAATATCCTATAATCTCTTTTATAAATCAAAACTTCAAAAATCTTCAAGCTTATCGATCTATTGCTTCTTTATCGTAATATTTCTCTAAATTTTGATGTGAATTTCGTGTAGTGTGTTCACTAAAATAATTGACCTTTTTATAGTAATAAATATATAAAAATAGAAATATAAAACATTATTTGAAATTTATAACTATTGTAGTGGTTGTTATTAACTTAGGAAATGTAAAATAATATAGCTTTCAAATCAATATGATTTCTAACTACATACATATTAAAATGATATTTATAATATAAATGAAAACTTTAAGTTGGTTGTTTAAAAACAATGTTCTAATAAAGAATAATTTAAAATACAATTCTCTAATATACGAAAAGAAAATTATATGATAAGAAGTTAAAACTACATTGATGTCTATTTCATTTTGCACTAATTTTAAAATCATTATTTTTAATATCTTATTCGTAAACATTAAATTTTATGATATGATTACAATATCCATTTATCAAAGAAAAAAAATTAATGGATTGTCATATGGATTTTTAAGTCTATTAACTCGATTACTTAAATATTTACATTTATAACCTACAAACTATTTATAGCACTCGTAGTGCGAGAAACCACACTCAATCAAAAAAAAAGTTCATTTAGTGTTTCACATAAATATGACTCCGTAAAGTCAAAGATTTGCATCCTTTTTTGTTGTTTATATACTACATTTTTTCGTTAACCCAACTTATGCAATATATAGTATAAAAAAGCAATATTTAATTTGACACTCTCTTCCATAACACCTCTATACGACCCTGCATCAATGGAGTTTGTGGTTATCGCTATTGGCCTGTTCTTATTCAACGCACTTTTTGGAGCCACTCTCACAATTTTCAGCCTCCGGAAACCCAAGAACTTGCCTCCAGGCCCAACCCCACTGCCGATCATCGGAAGCCTCCACCTGCTCGGCGACAAACCACACCAATCCCTAGCCAAGCTCTCCAAGATCTATGGCCCAATCATGTTCCTTAAACTTGGTCGCGCCACCGCTCTTGTCATCTCCTCCGCCGCTGCCGCCAAAGAAGTCCTCCAAAAGCAAGACCTTGCTTTCTCCTCCCGCCATATCCCCGACGCCGTCACCGCCCATAACCAGTCACTTCACTCCGTCGTCTGGCTCCCTGCTGCCACCCAGTGGCGGATCCTCCGTAGAATCCTTAACACCAACATCTTCACCACCAAATCCCTTGATACTAATCAGCACTTACGGAAGCAGAAAGTGGAAGAACTCGTTGCATACTGCCGGAAAGCCAGCCAATCCGGAGATTCAGTCAACATCAGTCGAGCTGCTTTCAGAACCACCCTGAATCTCCTATCCAACACTCTTTTCTCCAAGGATTTGACAGACCCGTATGAGGATTCCGGTAAAGAGTTTAAGGAGCTGGTTGATAACGTCATGGTGGAGGTTGGGAAGCCAAATCTGGTGGACTTTTTCCCGGTGTTGAAGAAGATCGATCCACAAGGGATCAGGAGGAGAATGACGAATTATTTTGGGAGGATTAATGAGATTTTTGAGGAATTGATTGAAGAGAGGTTGGGGATGAGCGAGTCGAAGTACGATGATGTATTGGACGCCTGTTTGAAAATCAGTCGAGAGAATCCAGAGGAGATCAATCGAACACATATCAAAAGCTTGTTTTTGGTACGTACCCTATTTAAGTTCCTTGTATTTCAAGCATGCAAAAGTAGTATCAAGTTTAATTGGTACTTAATCCATGTGTCAAACCATAATCAAGAATCGTCATATTAGGTTTTTCCCAAACAAAACATGACATTTTCTTGTTGATCCTCTAAAAAGGTTTTTTTTTTGTTTTTTTTTTTTTAGAGCAAAAAAAAAAAAAAAAAAAAAAAAAAAACTAAACAAAAAAAGAAAAAGAAAACACCCGATGCATGTTTTGACAACTATACATAAACCTATTTTCTTAACTACAACTTTGTCTTCGTCATTAATATTGCATTCGGGTTAGGTTGGACACCTAATTTGAAATTCCGTTTAAGTGATTTTCAATCAATTAAGCTGTAGGAAATATCAAAAGGTATATTTATTATTCAATTAAATACAAAAGAATTCCTTGCTTTTTCGATTTAATTATCCAAAAATATATATTTTTTTATCCAATCTAGTGTTAAACTACGTATATTTCCATCTATCTATTACCATTTATGTCTTCAACGAGACATAAACTCTCAAGTTCAAAAAGAAAGAACAACACCTAATACAACTATACTAAAAACCTTTTGATATCCAAAAACTATTATGGGTGTGTCTTCGGTAAAAATAGTTGGTAGCGGATAATGATTAACAATTAATGGGTAGTGGGTAGCGTTTAATTTTGGAGCGTTTTGTTGAAAGCTACCTCATATAGCTTTTAATTTTGGAGCATTTTGTTTACGCTAAAAGCTAGGGGTGCGTTTACTTGCGGAAAAATAGATCGTTGTCTGGAAAATTTTTTTGAGAAAAATGAAAATTTTGAAAATACGTTTAGTTCGCCTATTTTCTAAATTTTTCACAGAAAAATAAATTTTTTTGTTCTCTAAAATTACAAAGAAGTTGAAAGTTTTTAAAAACCAATAATTATTGTTTTTCACATTTTTCTAATTCCAAAAAATTTCTAAAATATAAACATACACCCATTCTCACTCCATCTACCTCTCCCTACCATTGCCTTAACACCTCCCACCCACCCCCACCCCCTCGACCCACTCACCCACAAACACATACACACACTCACACCTACACCCATACCTCCACAAACACACACACAAACAAACACAAACACACAAACACACACACCCACACAAACACAAAAACTGATGGGTTTTGGTCATAAGACATCGTATGTACTCATACAAACCCTAATGCTTGGATCTAGGTTTCTCTATTGTACATGCTTTGAATCCAAGACTATAAACCCTAATTCTAGCATTCATATAATCATATTAACATGAGAATAAGTTTATAGTGTTACCTTGATTGTTACGTAGCAATAACAATCCCAAATCTCCTTGTATTGACTTTGGAATGCTTAGAGTTACAAGTGTCACTCCTCTAATGGCTTACAAACACCATAAGCAAATGGAGAAGGTATAAAGAAAGAAGTGAGAGGTTAGAATTCGTATCTAGGACCTCTTGGGAAGGGATACACGAATTCATGACCCTAGGGGTGTTTATATAGGTGTAGAGATAGGGTTTCAGTCATTATCCTTATCTAGTTGATTATCCATTAAGCAACCAATAAAATAATCATTGAATCCTTATCATACTCGAATTTTAAGGCTTTCCAACGTTAAATTCGTCCACCATATAAATAAGATAATCCTTACCTTATTTTGTAACTATCACATAATTACAAATCAGCCCCTCTAGTTTAATTAATTACATTTGATCACAAAACTAATTCTTAATTAATTATTGACCAATATTAATTAAACAAATATGATTTCTCCTTTAATATATTATTCTTATAACATATTAATAAATCATATTATCCTCTCTCTCTTTATTCATTTCTCCAATCAAGTTGCTTTGGTGAAGGCAACCCAAAAGGACCATGCACCATCGGGTCAAGTACATACCAAAATAGTTATGGACTTAGACACTAATCCAACAGTCTCCCACTTGGATAAGTCTAACAACTATTCTGCGTATGACTTCAGATCCTGATCTGCAATCGTAGCTTTCCAAAGCCGCTGTCAACTCTGATCATATCAGATACGCGTGTCCTTAGATAAGGGATCATATATTCCTCCATTCTAGATATCGTATGAGATATGATTTCAAATCATTCTCTTTGTACTATATCTCGATTTCCGATTTATGACGACAGACTAATTGAACAAATCAAATTAGCCCTAGCCCGGCCGAGCATTTACGTATGTCATCACTAAACCATCGAGGGGCCCAAAGATATCGCTTTTATCCTACTTTGGATAAAAGGAACGGATAAACTTTGATACAATGCTTGCTTGCACTCACTCACCGAATTACACACAACAATATGTTTTATAACACCAAGTTACTAGTGCGTTTACATATTATCAATGTGCAACCGATTCGCAAGATACAACTCACACATCTCGGTTTCAAGAATATAAGATGTTATCGTCTCACTAATCACTCGTAATACAATTCATGGAGTGATCCAAGTGAGCGTGGGTTTAATCCAATGCTCAAATCATATTCATAAGCACTCATGAACGTTGCAGCAAACATTTGCTTATGTCTAATACTCTTCTAGACAATCCACACACCAATTCATGACAGTCTTCATTCATATCTACTTCCAACATATGAACGACTGTGGCCCGTTTGAATAATTCGATTATTCTTAATAAACTCAATTATTCTGGAAGTCAAAACATGCAAGGTGAAACACAAGAATAATACTAATCCCATATGGCCTCAAACCTTTGAGTATAAACAAAACACGTTTTATTTATCACCATACCCGATTACTCATTATTTGTCGTTTCGGGTAATCAACTTCGCATTTGAATTCCAACACTTGTCCCATGCTTCTAGCATGCACACAATGTTTACCTATGGTTCTTACTTTTGTGAAATAGACAAATTGAACACATTTCCAATCATTCTCATTTTTACAACTCCAAATCCATTTTCTTAAGTGTAAGAATATCAAATTCTTGTTACTTATAGAATATACTAGATTCTAACGCTTTATGCAACGATCCTTTTGTAATGTCACTGCACCAAAGTCTCAAAGACTATTGCCAATGATATTACAAATTCCTCTATCGGATATTGTTACAAGACAATTCCTTAGATATGATGTCTCTCACTCAAAGTACATTCCTTTGAACATCCTTTCGCATAAAGTTTCTAATCTAGACATAGATTTTCAATATTTACTTCCCAACATGGACACACTTCCATATTTTCTATATGACAACTCATTCTTAATAGAATCTTATCTATTCGTAATGATGTCGATATTGTCCATCCAATATGGAAACACTTCCATAATTTCCAATACTATACTTCCAACTACTCACAAGCGACCAATCCTCGTCGAACTTTGGATTGTCCTTTGATAGTTGTTTAATTATTTTAGTCAAAACCAATTCTAGTCTCTTTTCCCTCTAAATGCACTATACATTTGGAAAATTTTAGAATGGTCAAACATTAAAGCATTTGCAATCGATCCTATACCCGAAGCGTATGGGACACGACGCACAATGTTTTATTTGCTATGTTCTCAAAATTCGAATTGCGAAGAGGAATGCCGTAATCACAATCGAAATTTTAAGAACACACTATGTACCTTTGACTAAATTTATCAACATTTCGCAACCTAATCCTTTAGATTTGAAATGAAGCATAATATTCTCTCCCTTAATTATAGCAAAACAACCTTTCAACTCTTACAACTTTGCAAAGTATGACTCTTGTTTTCTATAATTAATATTGCCAACTATGCAATACGTGCCTTAATAATCATACAATCATAACATTTATGCTCCCACTATCATGATGATTATTATAAAACATAACACTTATGCTCCCACTAGCTTCGACATGTATTCATAAACATCTTAACTTTCAGAAAACATACTTATTGAATTTCTTAAGTGTTTCTAATACTTAGTGCTTTGATAATCTTTTATCAAGGCTTCCTGAACTTATACACTTTGCCTTAGATAGTTCATATGTGTGTCTTAACAATTAAGACTAATTGCCAAACCTCACAATTCAAATTATGGAAAGGGATGCCGTAACCATGATCGAATTTGAGAATGCAATTTTACATCACTACTTTTAAAATCTTTCTTAGTGAAGCATTTTCTCACAATCATTTTCATGAAGGAGGAAATCTTATGACACTTAGATTTAAACGGTGTATGTGTTCCTATCCATGCGAATTTGTTAAACCAAAAGTTTACGACAAATTCAAACTCATATGGATCGAACTTTCTTAATCTTGATTTCTTGCCTTATGGTAGCACAGCTGCCCACCACGTCTTCCAAGTAGTTAAGCATCACCTTTTCCTATCAATGTACCTTTCATTGATTCAAGGTGCTTGCCTTTTATGCATTCAAAATGAGAACTCATAGGACTCACATGCATAATTAACTCAATTGGAACACAGAACAAAATAATGTCAACATGATAGGTTGTAAACCTCAACTCGTGTGCTAGTGATGATCGATTAAGGTTTATTTGATTTGTTCTTGAAACTATTCAAGACCATTAAGACTCCACTGACTCCTTGACATATAAGATTCTTTGTCAATAACATTTTGACAAACAAATATTCAAGAGTTAGTGTAGCTTTTATCAAAACACTTCATAAATTGGTACTAGTTGGCCTTTGTCTTATTCAAGACATCACAACTTCCACATTTGATGAATGTTATAAACCTTTAATACTTTTCACTCATTGTCACAATCTTAACTTTAAGACTTGTTATGGAACGAAGTATGATAGACTTCTTGATTTAACCATTTCTTCAATCCTTGATTCCTCTTCTTAAACATACAATTGTACTAAGACTCACTTAGAGGATCAATTGAGATATGGTTCTTAATCATTAAGACTATCATAAAGCATAAAAGCTACTCTCCCTTCTTCTTAGAATGGAGAAACTTTTATCTTTCTGCCTACTGATTCTTCTTATTCGTTCTACTATTGATCTAAACCCTTTAATCAATTAGAATTACACTTAATCTTGTAAGTATAATCATATTTACTAAGCCTTTAGTAAATCATGACGAATATCTTTGTTATTCT